ACCCCGCCCCGCCCCTCCGCCCGCCCCCAGGTCCTCTACATCCAGGCCTTCGTGCTCGTCTTTCTGCTGGGCAAGGTGATGGGCAAGGTGTTCTTCGGCCAGCTGAGAGCTGCCGAGATGGAGGTGAGACGGGGGTGCCGGAGGGACCCGGTGTCGGGGTGCTGGGGACCAGATGTCAGGGTGTTGGAGGGACCCCGTGTCAGGGTGCTGGGGACCAGGTGTGGGGGTGCTGGAGGGACCTGCTGCCCAGCTGTGGGAGACCAGGTGTCAGGGTGCAAGAAGATCTGGTGTCCAGGTGTTGGGGCACCAGCTGTTCCAGTCCATGAGGGTCTCCTCCCATCCCCACCCAGCACCTCCTGGAGCGCTCCTGGTATGCAGTGACTGAGACCTGCCTGGCCTTCACGGTCTTCCGGGATGACTTCAGCCCGCGGTTTGTGGCGCTCTTCACCCTCCTTCTCTTCCTCAAGTGTTTCCACTGGCTGGCTGAGGACCGGGTTGACTTTGTGAGTGAGGCAGGAAAAAGCAGTAGCAGAGAGGGGGACCGGGGATTTGGAAGGGGAGGATGTGGAGGTGGAGAAATGGGAATTCTGGGCAGAGCCTGGAGAGAAGGGAATGGCTTCCCTTATGCCACTTTGCTGTTCTTGCCCAGATGGAGCGGAGCCCCAACATCTCCTGGCTGTTTCACTGCCGCATTGTCTGTGAGTGGCCCCTGGACGCAAGAATTGGGTGAACCTGTGCTGGCAGGGCGGGGGGGGGATGCTGGCGGGTTTGTTGCCCTGTGGAAGTGGGGAGGGGAGCAGAGGCCATCCCCATCTATCTGTTTATCTCCCCCCTGCCTGTGAGTGGCACTGAGAACGGGACTGGGCCTCTGCCTGTTCCTGAGAAGTACAGCTGGACCACAAAGCTAATTTGAGAAGTTCATTTGCATTCTTTCTCCCTGCCCTGTTCCACTCCAGGGCACTTCAACTGCCTTAAGTCCCAAAGAGACTTCCTCATGTTCTGCCTGCTTACCCAGGAGTCTGGGCTGTTGCTGTTCCCCTCCAGGGTAGGCTGGGAGTTCCCAGAGGGCACCTGGGGCTCCCACCTCCCCCTAACATTAACCCCAGGGCCGAAATGTCTTAGAAAAGGAAACCAGCCCCAGCTGATGCCTGCCCCGATCTTATGGCTTCCCTCAATCCCCTGCAGCCCTCATGCTCCTCCTGGGTGCCCTGGACTTCCTCTTTGTCAATCATGCCTATCACAGCATCCTGACCCGGGGGGCCTCTGTGCAGCTGGTCTTTGGCTTTGAGGTACTGATGGGGCTGAGGGGCGGAGGCAGGGGAGGGACAAGGGGAAGGGAAGAGACAGGGGTGCCTGAGGGTCCTCCCTGACCCTGCCGTCCTCCTTTCCTTCTCAGTACGCCATCCTGATGACCATGGTCCTCACCATCTTCATCAAATACGTTCTGCACTCAGTCGATCTCCAGAACGAGAACCCCTGGGACAACAAGGCCGTCTACATGCTTTACACAGAGTTGTTCACAGGTAAGCTCCCCCAACACCTCCTGCTCCTCTTGGTGGGGGGGACCTCCCAGCACTCTCAGCGCCTCCAGGTGCACCCCTCCTTCCCCTCAGGCTTCATCAAAGTTCTGCTTTACATGGCCTTCATGACGATCATGATCAAGGTGCACACGTTCCCGCTCTTTGCCATCCGGCCCATGTACCTGGCCATGAGGTAGGCCTCTCACAGCCCACACTGCTGGCTCTGAGGCGGGCTGGGTCTGCCCCTGTGAGATCTTCCCCATTAGACAGGGGGCTCCTTGAGTGCAGGGACTTCATAGTAAGGAGCCATCCCCTGCCCAGGCCTGTACTTGAGGAAGATCTGTGTTGAGGGTGGCAGAGAGACCTGGGTGGAAGAAGGCTGGGAAGTCAGCTGGGGAGGAAGTGCTGGGGGCCTGAGTGGATGCAGGAGTTAGAGGAGGCTCCCTGCAGCTCGGCCTGGCGCAGAGGCTTGGCCCTGGGGGAGGGCTGGGAGGCGCTTCAGAGGCCCGACGGGCCCCTCCTGTCTTGCAGGCAGTTTAAGAAGGCGGTGACCGACGCTATCATGTCTCGCCGAGCCATCCGCAACATGAACACGCTGTGAGTACTCCCCTTGGGTACAGGCTCCTCCCGTGTGCACCCTGGGCCCCAAAGGCCCTGGCTCACCCGGACCGGTCCTTCCTCAGGTACCCAGACGCCACGGCCGAGGAGCTCCAGGCCATGGACAACGTCTGCATCATCTGCAGGGAGGAGATGGTGACCGGCGCCAAGCGGCTTCCCTGCAACCATATCTTCCACACCAGGTGAGATGGGAGGCTGGCGCTGGCTTCCCGAGCCAGGGGAGGAGGCAGGTGCCGGGCCTAAGTGTTCTTACTGCCTTAGATTCCGCTTTTCCAGCTGCCTGCGCTCCTGGTTCCAGCGACAGCAGACCTGCCCCACGTGCCGAATGGACGTCCTGCGCGCCTCGCTTCCCGCCCAGTCCCCAGCCGCCCCGGAACCTCCTGAGCAGGGCCCCCCCACCTGCCCCCCACCAGCCCCCCATCCTTCCCCAGCCCCCCAACTGTAAGTACCCCAGGCCTCCACAGACCCCCAGCTTCCCGCTACTCCAGGGAGCCTGTCCGTGCACCCCACACGTTGCCTCTCATCCCTTCTACCTGGAGCACTGGAGTTTCTAGGCCCCCGTCCTCTTCTGCTTCATACTCTGTCCTTCTCATTGCAGTTCCCCAAGGCCTCCTGCCTCCATTTCCTCCGGGGATGTTCCCTCTGTGGCCTCCCATGGGCCCCTTTCCCCCCATGCCACCCCCCAGCAATGCCGATGTCCCGCCTGTCTCCCCTTCCACCTCAGGTGAGTCTGGTTGAGTGTCAGAAAGCAGTACTGACTCCTAGAGAGTCTCTGGCTGTGATGGGTGTTGACGTGGGCCTGTGCTGGAGGGGAGAAGGGAGCCTGAGTTCCTTAGCCCTGGGCCTGAAAGGGCAGATGGCCCCGGTGGTGAGGGGAATGGGAGGAGAGCTAAGATCTGAATCTGCCTCTAATGGCCCGCTTACACCTGTTCGTTACAGCCAATGCCTCTCGGTCCACTGGCTCTGTCCCTGAGCCCACCCCGTCTCCTGGTTTTCCCTTCCCTCCTCCCTGGATGGGCATGCCCCTGCCCCCGCCATTTGGTAAGTCCAGGCCCCCGTGGCTATCCTGAAGCAACTGGGCTGAGGTTTACAGGGACGAGAGTGCTTGGGTTCACACCTTCTTCTCGCTCTGCAGGATTCCCCCCCATGCCAGTGCCCCCAGCAGGATTTGCAGGCCTGACTGCCGAGGAGCTGCAGGCCCTGGAGGGCCACGAGCGGCACCATCTGGAAGCTCGGCTCCAAAGCCTTCGGAACATCCACACCCTGCTGGATGCTGCCATGTTGCAGATCAACCAGTACCTCACTGTGCTGGCCTCCCTGGGGTAAGGCCCCCTGGACCCGGACCCGGCTGGGCAGGGCGGGGCAGGTCCTGAGCAGCATCAGGGCCCGGCCCCACACCCAGCCTCCTCTGCTTCCTTCCTCAGCCCTCCCCGACCTCCTGCCCCTGCCAGTCCCCCTGCGGCATCTACACCCGCTGCTGCGGCCTCCTCTTCCAGCAGCATTCCCAGTTCGGAGGCGACACCCCCCTCACCGGGAGCCTCTCCACTTCCCCCCGAGCCCGTGCAGCAGCAGCCAGGTTCATGTAAGAAATCTCCCTTGGGGGGGGAGAAGGTGGGGGGAGGGGCACAGGAGTACCTTGTTTGAGCTTGACCTTTATTCATGACCTTTGACCGCTCCCCTCTCCCAGCTGCTGAGTCTGTTGGGGCCGAGGACCTGTCGGAAGACGCGGAGCCCGATGCGGTGGAGCTCCGCCGCCGCCGCCTGCAGAAGCTGGGGTCCCCTGCTTGTCATTGACACTGCCCAACCTCATCCCGCTCCCCAATCTCGTGTTTTGACTGTGGTGCCCTTGTGCGCGGGTGAGAAGTGGATCCCACCGCCAAGTGCCATCTCCCCTCTCACCAGGCTTTGGAAAAGAACGTAAGGTTCGGACCCCCACTCAGGCCACTTGGGAGCTCCTGAATCCAAGTCATGTGGCTTGGGCTGTTTCCTTGCCCACTGGAGTGGGCTGGAGGCCTGGTGGGTCAGTCTCCTTCCTGACCCTTCACTCACCCCCTGCAGCCTCCCTTAACTCCAGGCAGAGTTGGGGCTGTCGAGATCGTTGAGAACCCAGTTTCCTGCCCTTTTTACTGCTCCTCCATTTGGGGGGGGGGGCCCAGGAAAAGGGCAGACACTCTGAAGACACACTCCCTCAGGGGCTGGAAAGGCCAGCTCAAGATAGAGGGAGTCTCCCTTGTTCCCAACAGTATTAACTCTAGCTCCTGGGGGCACGAGGTGAGCTGGCCTTTGATGGCCCCCACCTCCAGCAGTCCCTTTGTAGTGTCAGTAGCCCCCCATTGCCCCGTCGCACTCCCGTCCGTGTCTTACAGGTGACCACATCTCAGGAAAGTGAGTGACAGGGAAGGGGTGGGTGGGGGTAGCCCGCTGTGGCTGGTGGGCAGCTCCTTGGCACTTCTCCCTTCCGTGATGGGAGGTTGGAGGCACCTGGTTCTCTGGTGTAATGAGGCTGAGCCTGTCTGTGGCCAAAAGCTCATTTTTCTCCTCCCCGGGCTGGGACAGAAGGAGGCCAGCCTCTCAGTCCCGTGCAGGGAAGCCTTCTGAGCCTTCTCAATTTGGGGGGGAAATTTCTTGTTGCTGTCTTTTGGTTAAAACCCAACCTCAGAGCTTATTTCAAATGTAAAAAAAAAACAGCACCCAGCCCAGCAGGGAGGGGAGGGAAAATTGCTCATGGTTTCTCCAGGTTAGATGTGGTTCTGCAGTAGGGGGTGGGGGAATAAAGCCAGGACTAGGCCTAGCCTCACCCATGCTCCCCTCTCTCCTTTGTTCCCCCTTTGTTTTGTGTGTTAAAAAAGTTGCTGGAGACCGTTTCAGATTATTTAATTTGTAAATATTGTACAAATTTTAATAGCTTCAATTGTATATACGGCCAAAATAAAAACTTGCATTAAAGTTGGTGCCAGGTTGTACCATGGTACCCCTCCCCCTGGGCATTCATGGATGTTTTGTCTTCTTTGCCTCAAGCCCTGCTTGTCTTCCTGACGCGGCTGGGTCTGGATCCGGTTTCTCACTTGTGGAGGCAGCCACCCCCTTCACTAGGGCCTCTGCCACCTCTTAACACTGGCTACACAATATTTTTCATCGCAGGGAAATTTCCCTGAAAGATTCCGCACTACGGGGGTGGGGAGTTAGTTATTAGGGTCATCTTGACAAACCCCTTCTGTTCTGAGTCCCCTTGGAGACATTCCAGCCACAAATGGGGAGCAGTGGGGGGCCGCCAGGACTTCCGGACAAGTCTGTCTCAGCACCCAGATGCGGATGGGGGCAAGCCTACGGGACCTGGTTTGCCCTATGACCCTCAGAAGCCCTTCTCCAGCAGCCAGGCCTTGAGCTGTTGATCAAAGTAACCCTTGATACGCAGGGTCCCAGTCACCTCATTGACCTGTGTCACAGGTGTCTTCCCCATCAGCAGAGTCAGGAATTCTTCCACATCTTTCTGCAGGGCCTAGGGGGGACAAAGAAACCAATCGGGTCCGGTGCTCGCCCGTGCCAGCCATCGCTCCATATCCCATGTTTCCTACCCCTTGGCCCGAGCCCCTCCTACTTACCCAAATGTCCCCTTCCACCTTTCGGATCAGAGTCATTTGCCGGTTGCCATGTGTGAGCTCGGTGTAGACAGGTACATTGTGCATCCGGGAGCGACGGATGAAGTAGGGGAGGTTTGGTGGGGGGTCTGTGACAGAAACCAGCATGCACTTAGCTGGTTCCCCAGTCCCTAGACCTTAGTGCCTGACTGCCTATCACAAAGGTGAGAGAGGGCTATCCTGGGTCCTGCTTTAAGGAAAGTCTTCCCTAGAGCAGAGCCGAGTGTGCCCAAGCCTTCACATCGGGGCTCAGGCAGTCAGCCAAGCATTTACTGATAAAGGTGCCAGGCACTGTGCTAAGCACCAGGAGAAGACATTCCACCCCCAGCCCCCCATCTTCAGAGACAAAACCTGGGGCATCAAGAACTCTGTGGCACAAAGGGGGCCCTCCCCTGCTGCTCCCCCACTCCCTTGATTCAATCTCCTGGATTTAGACGAATTTCCTGGGCTTGTCTGACAACCACGCAGGGAGGAGTAGGCAGGCTCTGTAGGGTCATCGGAACACATAGCAATCCAGGGCTTCTTCCCTGGGCACCCAGAGATGGATTTCCAGAGGTCCTAGAATTTCCTTGGGAGCTTGATTTCAATCTACCTGACTTCCTTAGTAATCCTGTGTATTTTACCTTGTGCATTTAAAAACATTTTCCTAAGTTACCAGGGTTCACCAGACCATCCAAGGGATCTGGGACTCCTAAAAAGACAAGAACCTGTTCTCTGATCCCCACCCCATGTCTTCTCTACCAAGGAGTGCTCATGAGGCCAGAAGGACATGGGAAATCCTTGGGCCTGGAGGATGTCTCTCCTCCAGGGATACAGAAGCTCAAAAATGAGGCTGATCTTTACTGTGGGCTTTGGCTCACAGTTCTGAGGCTGACTGGGAAGAGCACTGGATTCAAATCCTGGCTCCTGCTACCTGTGTGACCCTGGGACAAGCCTGCAGGTTTCCCTTCTTTGTCTTGGAAATGAAGGGACAGGACGGGCCAAGATTGTTCCTGGACTCTCTTGCACCAAAACCCCAACTTTTTTCCTGCAGGCACTTCTCCCAAGAAGCAAGCCCCACAGTTCAATTCTCTGCTTGCTCACCTTTTGGAGGCTGCCAGCCACTCGGGGTGGGGTAACTCTGGTGTCTGGGGGGCTCTGGGATGCTGGCAGGAGGGATAAGGCGCTCCACAAATTTGTATTCTTCTGTGGACTCCACGATTCCAGGGTAAGCAGACGGCTCCTGGGTCTGGCTCTGAGACAGAGACATCGGTCTTCCTCAGTGCCCACTTGATGCCCACCTCAGTGACTCGAAGGCAGCAAGGTCACAAAGTATGAACTCCGCAGCTGGGGACCCGAAGCCTCCACAATTGGCTTCCAACTGACTTTTCCCATCTCATCTAAGGAAACTAGGCCAATCATTTCTCCTCCCTCCCTAGGATATACTCTCAGGGGCTCACTCTCCTCATCTGTAAAGTGGGAAGATCAGACTGGCTGGCCCCCACCATCCCTTCCAGCCCCAAATCTATACTTCTATGAAGAGTCCGACGTGGGTGCGCCTTCTACCTGCCCAGAAGGCCTTCACCTCCCTCCAATTCCAGTGCCTGAGACTGCCTTGGAGAAAGAACTGAACTGGGGCCTAGGCACTCAGGCGTAAGCACCCGTAAGCACCTGCTGCATGCAGCAGGCAGGCTGGGCTCCAGAGGAGATCCAAAGATCAATTTCAGTGCCCACGGGGCAAAGGGCCAGGCGCAGCCGGCAGTGGGACCCCACGGGCTGGCCAGTGCTCAGTGCTGGGCTCGGCTCCTCACCTGCCAAATTCTTGCCTTCATTCCTCTCCAGGCCCTGCCCCTGGAAGATCTACCCACCTGTACGGCCCTTTGTCACGGTCAGCACCCGCACCCCATGCTCACCTTCCTCCCCCTCGGAGCTGGGTTCTCAGTCCTACCCCAGGTGGGGACCTTTTCCTCTCCCTGTCACTGGAAGCTACATGGGGGCAGGGGCACCGACACGGGGGGGGGGGGGGTGCGTGTGCGCGCGCGCGCACACACACACACACGTGTGTGTCCTTCCTCCCTCCCTTCCTCCGACCCATCCTGGCCGGGAGACTCCACGCGAGACCCCGGGGGGAGGGGAGGCCGTGGAAGGGCGCCCACCCCCCACACTGGGGGAGGGGAGGTCCGTCGGGAGGTGTTTCTGAGCCCCTTGTTTTACAAAGGAGGAAACTGAGGCCCGGAGGAGGGCAAAGTCGCCCCCGACATCCGGGTCCTGGACCCCCAAAGTCAGCCGCGGCCCGGCAGCATTTATTAGGCGCTTACTGCGCGCCGGGCATGCCGGAAAGAGGCCCGGACCCGGGTTCAAATGCGGCTACATCGCGGGTCCCCGCCGTGACCTTGGCCTTTGTGGGTCTCAGTCGCCTTCTGTAAAATGGAGGTGGGGGGTACTGTGACCTCGGAGGTCCTTTCCAGCGCCGACACGCTAAAGGTCAGTAGGCCCGGGCTTCTCCGGGCCTCAGTTTCCCCGTTTACACACGTAGGGCCCGGAGAAGAGGCTCTGACGTTTGAGGCCGTAAACGACGCTTAGAGATCAGACTCTTCGAGACGGTTCCCTTCCCCCCCCCAACCCAGCCCCAGACAGAGGCGAGGCCGCGTTCACCTGCCAGCGGAGCCCACAGGCCGGGCGTCCCGGCCGCCCGCAAGCCCTCAGCCCGGCGCGGAGGGCGGACGCCACAACAGGCACCGCCATTCTGCAGCCCCGTTCCCTGCGTGCGAGGACTTCCGCCTCCCCCTCAACCCCGCCCTACCCGCCTCGCGCAGGCGCCGACACACGAGGAGCCCGGCCCCGCCTCCCCTTCCCTCGAGTCATCGGCGGCTCGAACGAGCGACTTCCTTCCCTACGGCTTGCATTCGCTCCGATTGGCTGGCGGGGACGTGCGCGTCGGTCTGCGCAATCACGCAGGCGGCGTGGTGAGACGAACGTGCGCGCCCCCGCCGCCTCTCTCTCTCTTTCTCTCTCTCTCTATCTCTCTCTCTCTCTTTCTGGTCTCCATCTTCGCCGCGGCGGAAGCGAGCCTAACGTGTCCGAGGTAAGTGCGCGGCCCGAGGCCGGGGGAGAGGGGCAGCCGAGGCACGAGGCCGTCACCTGGGCCGGCCCTTCCCCGCCCGGCCTCAGCCCTCTCTCGTTCCCCGGGCCTTTGCTGCTCCGAGCCCCGCTCGCCCCTTCCCCGCCCCGGCCCTGTCCCCTCCCCCGGCCCCGGGCCTCAGCCGCCGCTTCCGTGTCCCCGCAGTCGCCACCATGCAGCTGTTTGTCCGCGCGCAGGCTCTGCACACCCTCGAGGTGACCGGGCGGGAGACCGTCGCCCAGATCAAGGTAAGCGAGGCCTCCCGTGGGGCAGACCCCCGCCGGGGCGCTGCAGAGGGGGAGGGACGGAGCTCCCCAGGCCGCTGCATCTGGGGCAGCCCCCGAGCTCGCTGCCTCCCTGCTTTACAGGCCCACGTGGCATCCCTGGAGGGCATCGCTCCCGAGGACCAGGTCCTGCTTCTAGGTGGCTGCCCGCTGGAGGATGAAGCCATCTTGGGGCAGTGTGGGGTGGAGCCTCTGGCCACTCTGGAAGTGGCTGCTCGGATGCTGGGAGGTAAGGGACGCCGTGTCCATCCCCTTCTACGTGTTTGGTTTCTCACATCTTTGTGCCGATGTGGGCAGTGGTCATTTTCATCAAAGTAGTATCAAGCTTTTTTTATCCACCCTGGGAGGGAGGTAGTATTGCTCCATTTTATGGGTGAGGAAATTGAGGCACAGATGGCGGGCGTCAGTCCACAGTCATATCGCTAGTAATCAGGATTTGAACGTGGACTTTCCCTGACCTCTCGTGCCATCACTGTATACACTGAACCACCTTCTCGACTGGTGATTGATCTTCGCACCGATCAAAGTTTAGAGTGGTTACTTTTTACCAATCCAGTTACAGCATAAGTTGTTGTTCAGGTCTTGTTTATCTCACTCAGTTCTGCCTAAGTTCCGAATCCACGGTTAATTGCTCAAAGCATAGTAGTATTCCGTCACATTCACACGCAGTGGATTTGTTTAGCTGTTCCTCGGTTTCTGGGGCCCTGCTGTCACAAAAAGGCGCTTTAGGTGATTTCGGTACATATAAGTCTTTTCTTTGTGACATCTCTGCATCTAGACATAGTATTGATCTCATTGGGCCAAAGGGCTTACATTGGTAGGTTTGTACTTTGGGGGCATAACCCTAACTCTAAATTGCTTACCACTTTGGCTGGACCAACTCACAGGGTCACCTGCATTGTGCCTCTTCTCCCCTCGCCTTTCAGTTTTGCCCCTCTGAAGAATGCAGAGTTGCATTACTTTGCATTTCTCATTATTAAGTGATTGTGGGACACTTTTTAGTTTGAATTCCTTGAGATCTGTGTGCCCGTATCTTTTGATGATTTATCAATTGGGGAATGGTTCTTAGTGTTCTGAATTTGGATCAGTTCCTTATATAGCTTGATAGTAAAGCCTCTGTTAGTGAAACTGTCTGCAGATTTTTCTCCCTAGTTAACTGCTTCCTCTCTCATCTTTGCTGTATTGGATGTTTGTGCAAAAACTTTAATTTTTGTAATCAGAGCTGTTCATTCTACCTTCTCTTATCCTGTTTATGCCTTATTCGGTCATGACTCTTTCCTAAAGGTAGTTTGTCTCCTTCCTCACATTTGTTTCTGACTACCTTTGTTTCTAAGGCAGATACTGTTTGTACCTTATCTTGATGGAATCTTCAAGCAAACACTATGAATACTTAATCCCAGCAGTTGTTCATCTTTGGAGCTTGCAAGTCCTTAATATGGCAATGTTTATGCCCCTAGACCAGTTAGTGCTTGCTGCCTTTTCAGGACTTTTCTTCCCTCGATCAGTTTATTGTGTAGTGGTTAGCGGCACTGACTTAACCAGGTAAACAATTCCCGTGAACTCAGTTGAAGGGTCTTCAACACTCAGATCCTAAGTCCGTGGATTTCAGTGGCTTTTTTCTCTTTGGAGGTCTCAAAAACAAGGATGGAAAACAGGTACTTTTTTGGAGCTTTGAGCTAAAGGCTAGTTGATGTTCAGATTCTGCAGTTTTGGCATTGATCTGCCCGTTGACCCTGGGAAAGCTTAAAAGTATGTGTACGTAATTCTCACAACTTATATTTGTCTCATTTTCTCCCTCAGGTAAAGTCCATGGCTCTTTGGCCCGAGCTGGAAAAGTGAGGGGTCAGACTCCCAAGGTGAGCCCAGGGTCTGGGCGGTGCTATTTGGATTTCAGTCAACCTGCTGGTGCCCTTGGTGGGATGGGGAGGTAGCGGTCCAGGACCGCTCCCTTTTAATGTGCCTCGTACCTCTCCTGTGTCCTGTTTTCTGTCTGAACGAGACCCTGCTTTGGGGGAGCAGGGACGAGATCTTAACCATATGGTGAATGGATGGAGTCTTTACTGCTTACTTTATACAAAGCATGATGGATATAAATAGTCAGACAGCCTCTGCTCTCCGGCTCACATGCCAGTGGTGTAAAGTAAACACACATCACGTAAATATATTCTCATTCGAACCTCACAACCCCATGTAAAGTAATGACCTGGGTCTGCTATTGCCCCTGCCTCCCACATGTACACAGAGCAAGTATTTAAGTGCCTGGAGTCTCCCTAACTCGTCTTATCCGTAGGTGGCCAAGCAGGAGAAGAAGAAGAAGAAGACCGGGCGTGCTAAGAGGAGGATGCAGTACAACCGACGCTTTGTCAACGTAGTGCCCACCTTTGGCAAGAAGAAGGGCCCCAATGCCAACTCCTAATCCCCTGGTACTTTCTGTCTGTCCCCAATAAAGCCGCTACGACTCTACTGAGACTCAACTGATTTTCTGAGGAATGGGTGTTTACAGTCCTTGAAGGGGGGAAAGAACAGAAAAACTAGGGGACCAGCAAACCATACGGGGAGGAGCTGGCGGAGAAAGCTGCCCTAAGCTTTCCCTCTGAGTTGGGTTATTTGCTGATACCTGTATTTCTGCACTCAGCCTCTGCCAGTTTTGACCTTAGTTGAAACTATGAAAAGACAGGACCTGGAGCCCTGTATCAGGTGCTGCCCCCTGAGCTCTCTACCGTCTAAAGCACTAGTTCAGGATTTTTACCGACTCCAGCCCTGGAAAAGGTGTTTTGGGGAAATGGGAGAAACTGTTCGTATGCAGTTGGGTCGGTGGTGAGATGGGTGGGATTAGGTTTGGCTCTTTCATCTGGACGGGGGAAAAAGGTCGCGAAGCTCTGCCTTTGCTCCCTCGGTATTCAGAAAGGGGCTGGTTTGACTTTGAGGGAGTTTCACGAAAGGATGTTGGGACGATTTCATCTACTCTCTGGCTTTGGTTGAAGGAGTTTGAATCCTCATCCTGTACTGCTGTGCCAGCAAGGACCCAAATCCTGGGCTCTTGGCACCACACCTCAGCAGAGCAGAAGGTGGACAGGAATAGACCCTTCAAAGGCTATAAAAATAAGCAAGTGCAGTAGGGTGGGGGAGCTGTCGTCACCTGAAAAATGGGAGTTTTAATGGCCTGCAAGCGATGTGGAATCGTCACTGATAATGGCCACCAAGAAAGCTCAGTGTCGGCCAGCAAGCCTTCCATCCCACTGTGCTCTGCCAGACACCCTGTGGCCCTTCAGTTCAGCTCTGGATCCCCCAGTTTAGGAAGGACAAATTAACAGGCTACCAGGAGGCTGGAGATTACGATGACGCCCAGATATGCCCCAAATAGCTGCACTGCGGTAGCAAAGAAGTGGAAATAGTTGGTGCCCATGGAGGCGGCAGCTGCTCAGTTGTTATATTCGTGTTTTCGTTCGTGTCCAACTCTTCGTGACCTGTCTGTGGTTTTCTTGGCAGAGTTACTTGAGTGGTTTGCCATTTCCTTCTCCAGCTCGTTTTACAAATGAGGAAACCTGAGGCAGAGTTAAGTGACTTGTCCAGGGTCATAGCTAGTAAACGCTTAGGTCCTATGTGAACTAAGGTCGGACTCCAAGCCCAGCACTCTATCCACTGCGCCACCTAGTGCCCGTTAAATGAATCTAAAAATCCTAAGGAAGGAAGCCTGACGAGTCAGGAACGCAGTAATTCTGTGATTCTGGCTACATAAGCGGAATAGTAGGCGCCCGGAAGTAGGCCCGGACGAGCTGCCCCCTCCTGGGAGTACGGGGGAGTTGCCGGCGCCCCCAGACTACGAGTCAGTTTCTTTCGTGTTAGTTACAAGCGAACGCTCCCGGGATGGGGGAGGGGGCGAGGAACGTCTGCACGCTTGGCTAGGAAGGGGGATTAGAATTACTTTCGGCAGCCTCGAGGGTGGACACGGGAGGCGTGGCCTTCTTTCCTAAAGTAAAGGTGTTTCCCGCCCCACAAGGGTCTCAAACCCGTGGGAAGAGGCAGGTTGGAGGGGATTTCGCTAAAACTTCTGCAGGAAATAGAAGCCAGGAGCTACCCATGCTCACAGTACCTGGGATTCTGCTCGATCCCGCCCACCAAGCTTCGAGAGCCAATCGGCGCGCAGCGGAAACTTGGAGACTAAGAGAGGCGCCAGCGGAAGTGCCTGGACACCAGACGGAAAGCGGCGCGCGGCACTTCCGGGCCCCGCGAAGGCCGTTGCCATGGAGCCAGCGGGGCCGTGTGGGCACTGTCCCCCAGGCGAGGCGAAGCCGGCGCGCTACACCTGTCCCCGCTGCAACGTGCCCTATTGCTCGCTGCCCTGCTACCGGGCGCACGGGGCGTGCGCCGAGGCCTTCTACCGGGACCAGGTGCTGGGCGAGCTCCGCGGCCGCACCGCCTCACCCAGCCGCCTGGCGGGCGCCCTGCGCCGGCTGCGGCAGCAGCGCGAGGCCGAGGCGCCACAGGACGGTCAGGACCTGGAGGGTCTGGGAGGCCTGTGGGAGCGACTGCAGCCCGCCGAGAAGGCGGCCTTCGAGCGGCTGCTGAGCCGGGGTGAGGCCGGGCGCCTGCTGCCGCCCTGGCGGCCCTGGTGGTGGAGCGGCGGGGCGCCGGCGCCGCTGCTGGAGGAGCTGCGCGTGCGCGAGGAAGGCGAGGAGGCGCCTGAGCCCGCCCCCGCCCCCCAGAACGTGCTCGACCCCGCGGCCGCGCCGCCGCCCGTGCCCGATACCATCCGCGCCTTGGCGCAGCTCAGCGGAGGCCGCGCGCCTTCGCCCCTGCTGTGCTTCCAGCTGCCCAACGTGCTTTTCGCCTACGCGCACGCGCAGGGCCTCTACCATGGCGGCCTGGACGACGATCCCGAGCTGCTGCTGGACCAGTGCTCCACAGTGCTGGGCGTGGCCGGGGCGCTTGGTGCCCGCCAGGTCTTCCGCTCCACGCGCGAGGCGCTGCATGCCGCCGCGCACGCGCTGAGGGCCGGCGCGCACCCGCCAGGGCCGCTGGGCGCGCGGGGCGCTATGCGCGAGGCCGCGCGCCTCCTGCTGGGCGAGAACCCTCAGCCCGGAGTGCAGAAGGGCTACTCCCTGGCCGCGCTGGCGCAACTGGCGCGCGCATTTGGGCGCGCGCGCAGCCTCGTGCCCGCGGGCCGGCAGCGAGAGCGCCTCTACCGAGCGCGCAAGAAGTGCCAGTATCTGCTGTCCTGGACCAACGAGCACGAGGACGCGCTCACGCCGCTCGCCTTGGACTGTGCGCAGGAGTACCGCGCAGAGGAGGAGGAGGCTGGCCAAGTGGAGGCCTTGAGCGGGGAGCTGGAGCGCCTGTGGGGGGGCCCGCGCCCCCCTGCCCCAAGGACCCTGATCCAGGAGCTGGCCTGAGGGCAGCTGGGCCCCCCACCCCACCCCTCAATAAAGCCGCCTCGAGACTGACCCCGCCTCCCGGGCTGTGTGTGTCTGTCTGTGCTGCCTCCTCCCCCCCACCCTGGGCGCAGGGAATGACCACCGGATTCAGACAGGTCCATCAGCTGAGCTCTATTCAGAGGCTTCCCCAGCTTCCTTTCTCTGTCTCCTGGGGACAACTTCAGAATCATTCACGAGTACATACAGCCCCTCCTTCCTCAGAGAAGGAAACTGAGGCTCAGAGTGGGTGTCCGGCTAGCCCAAGGGGACATCGAATGCCAGAGGCAGCGGCATCTGGCCTCTAGAGATCACCAGGATGGAAGGGGCAAGCTGCAGATGTCATTTCTTCCAGATGATCGAAACAGGGCGTGCTGCCTGGGAAGGGGAGCAGAGGGCAGGGCGCCCCCAGCTTTGTTCCTTGATGGGGCAGGTGGGCTCAGTAGATGTAGGGTACTATACGGTAGGGCACCCTTGTGCAGTATTCCCGCCAGGCCAGGCCATACTTCTGGAGACACTGGCGCTCATCTCGGTCCTCCCGATGCACCAGTAAAATGGTAAAGTAGACAACGTAGAAGTAGGGAAGCAGGTGTGTCACCCCTGCCAGAGGAGGGGGGATGACTTCAGCTTCTGGACAAGAAGTCAGTCTCCCATCGGAGGTCACCCTGTCAAACCCTGTCCAGGTCCCTTCCTTAGGGCTAGATTACCTCCATCCTCACCCCATTCAGTGACCCAGCCCCTCCTACCCCCCTTCCTCAATTGCCATCTGGAATCAAGAGCCTGAGGCCTCTCCCCCTGACCCCTGGCAGCCAAACCTTTCTTCTCAAAACAGCCAGCTCACCGCAGGGCAGGGACCAGGCCAGAGCCATGATTAGGTCTCCAAGGTAGTTGGGATGACGGACCATACCCCACCACCCTGATACCAGCAGGCGCCGCCCAGTAGCTGTGGGGATGGTCTCAAGGCCTGGAGTAGACGAAGGGAACCAAAAATCAAATGGAGAAGCCTAAGCTGTCCTGGCACATTCCTCATGTCCCTAGGTCCCAGCTCACCAGCCACACTGGGGTCAGAAGGGTTCCTCCGGAAGGTATTTTTCTGTGTGTTGGCCCCACGAAAGATAAAGTAGCCAATCGCTGTGGGAGAAAGAAGGGCCAGATTTGAACAGGTCTGAGAAGATGAGTCTTCCTTACTCCTGGCCCAGCACTCTGCAAGGCACTATTATGTCACCTGTTCTATGCCCTGTCCCTTGCCGATCCCCAACTAGACTATGAGACGTCAGGGTTGGAAGGAGCCTGAGACATTTCCAACCCCTTCGTCATCCAGATGAGGACACTAAGGCCCAGAGAGAAGTAATTGACCGAGCCCCCATAGTCAGCAGCATTGGGACTAGAAGCCGGCTCTTCCAGTTCCTCTAGCCCCTTCCCCATCAACTCACCAAACAGCAGACAAATGGCCCCAGCCACAGGCAACTCCAAAGACTGGGGATGATTCAGAAGGAACTGGGCTTGAAGACTGTAGGTGAAGGGGACCCAGGCCAGGTCCCCGAAAGCCAGCATGAAGCCAAAGCCATCATGGATGATGTCCATGGTAGTTAGAATTGCCTCCTGTTAGGAGTGGTCATCAGAGCCTGAGAGAACAATTCCCTTTCTCGCCCTCCATCCCCACATCCCCTGTACCTCCTTTTCTAACTCATGCTCCCCCACCTCCCTCCCCAATAGTGGTTTCCCACCCATCTCCCAGGATTGTTATGAGAATCAAATGGGATATGATTATTGATTATATCATTTCTGCCCTTGACTCCCTACCCTCGGAGCCCAGAGTGCAGACGGCCCTGTCTCCATGGTCCTCACCTCATTCCAAAGAGCGTCCACGACGTAGACAAGCTGGAAGGCATTGACCAGCCCCATGGCCAAGGAAGGCCGACCCCCATGGCGCTCAGCCTCCCGCAGCAACACAGCCAGGTTGATCAGGGCCTAAGCAGAGAATGGGGGAGGGGGGAGGCTTAGCTGGGGTGGGAACTATCCCTGCCCAGCCTACACTTCTGTGGACCCTGAGAACCTGCTTGGAGCAACCTGGACTCTGGCAGACAAGGGCCAGAGTCAGGAAGACCCGAGTTCAAATCCAACCTCAGCTACTGAGAAGCTATGACCCAGGGCAAGTCACACAACCTTTGGCTGCCTCAGCTTCCTGAACTGTAAAGTGGATATAATAACAGCACCTACCTCCCAGGGTGGTTGTGAGAATCAAGAGTATTTGTAAGGCACTCAGTACAGTGCCTGGCACAGAGCAGGCCTAAGTAAATGTTAGCCGGTATTATTGGGGATGTTGTTTTGTTAGCAAGTGCCAGCCCCTGGTCCCAAGCTAAGCTGCTTTTCTCAGGCTTTTTATCTCCTTTTTGACAGACAGTTTCTCCCTCCCTCCTGTCCCCCACCTCTGTTAATCTCCCTCTACTTTCCTCCCCCCAAATCCAATCTTGGCAGGACAGGACATGTGAACTTTTGTCAAGTCAGAAGCACAAATAACAAATTGGGAAATCTAGGGTAGAGGCCACATGGCAGAGATTCCTGTAACAATTTTGTGGCTTGCCCAGGGTCACCCAGGAAGATGGGCCTCCCCGGCTCCAAGCCTGGCATTTTACCCACTGCAGTGCCGCCTAGTGGACCCAGTGAAAAGGCCTCAGCCCTAGAAGATGGCCAAGTTTATTTGCATGTTTTAAATCCTCCGTGTCTGCCTGAGCCTTCTTTACCAGGAATCTGCTCAGCCCCTGGTCAGGAGCTAGCCCTTACCCAGCCAATCATCCCTGGACGAAGCTCACAAAAATACTTGAGGTCAAAGGATCCGAATCGGGGATTCAGTTCTCGGCCAAGGAAGAAGTCATAGACGATGTTACCTAGGGCAAGAAGATGAGGTGTTTACTCAGCACCTGTTCCAGATCCCGCTGAGGGTCTAGCTCAGCCTCTGTGCTCTCCATGTGCCTGGAAACCACGTGGGTCTCACCTGAATTCCCCCCAGGGGCGAGGGCTGAAGGCGGCACTGTAAAGGACTTGAGGTAGAGGAGGAGGCTGAGGATGAAGGCTATAGCTGCGGCTGCTGAAGCCAACGGCAGGAGCAGCTCTGGGAGGCTCCCGAGGGGCAGACCCCCTGCCAGCCCCAGCCCCACCAGCAGAGCCGTCAGGCCCAGGCACCGAAACCCTGGAAGAGAAAACCTGGGTGCTCAGTCTCAGGACAAGAGCCTATTCCATTCGGGAAGCCTGTGCCCAGCTCCTCCCCTCCCACCCCAAATCCAGGGCCCTGGCCTCGGGAGAGCCTCCCCTAAGCCATTGTGGAAGTCCCCAGGACTGCCACTCACTGCTTTTGGGGGCCTAGGCAAGGTACCTAAGGCTGAGGAGAAGGGCAATGTGTGGGGCAGCAGCGTCTCAGACACAAGCTGCACCTATGGGGGGGGCGCAATACCATGCTGGGGTTCAGGCCACTTTCCAAGGATCAGTTTCCCCTCCTCGTCTAGGAGTTAGAAGCCCACCTTACAGGGGGAGCAATGGAGGCCAGGAAGTCTGGACCTATACTCCCTTCCAACCCCCTTTCCCTAGCACAGACAGTGGTCCAGCCTAGGTGACATGGGATGGGAGTCTAGGTAGGGGGTAGATTAGCACCATTAATTGGATATCGCAGGTGGCTCTTGTCTCTCAGCATCCTGCCCTCAGATACCTGCAGAGGACAGAAAGCAGCTCTGAGAACCCTGCCTTCCCCCTTCCCCATCTGCCTGACTCCTCCCCTCCAGGGCTCTGCCCCTCACCTTGCCCATGGGCAGCAGGTACAGTGTAGCCTGCAGCCCCAGCCAGAGCAGAAGCAGCAGCAGAGCCCAAGGACTCCAGAAGGCAGAGGCTGGGGGCAGCTCAGAGGGCAGGCTGAGCAGGCTACAGGGGCCCGAGTGGCAGGTGAGGAGCAGGTGGAAGAGGACCACAGGGAGTAGCAGCAGCATGGCAGCCGTCCCTGCAGGGAGAAGCAGCTCCAGCAGCTTCCCACCCATACCACCCTCTCTTGCCACCGCAGTGCCCTACCCGGGGGGCCGCCGAACTGCAGCTCCAGCAATAGATCCCTGCCCAGGAGACCCATCCGCCCCATGAGCTGGCCTGCTGCTTTACCGAGGGACCCACCTCCAAAACTCCAGCTGCAGAGCCCAGCCCTGCTCCCCCAGCCATCCGATCCCAACCCCACCCCCCAGGCCCCCGCCGAAACTCCAGCTGCAGAAATCTTGCCCTGCCCAGGAGATCCACCCGCTCCCGTCAGCTGGCCCGACTCCTTACCGAGGGACCCACCCCCCTAAAAGTCCAGCGGCTGAGCCAAGCCCTGCTCCCCCAAACCGTCCGATGTTTACCCAGTGGCCCCCCAAATTCGAGTTCGTCAGAGCGCGGGGAAGTCTGCTGATGAGCCATGGTTCTGAATCCGAGCCTGAGAGAAAGACAAAGGGCCCCTGGCTGGGGGAGCCAGAGGGCGCGGACGGGGCAGGCGGAGGACAGTTGACAGACAGCCCGCAGGAGAGCTGACCAGAGGCTTCTGGGCAGCGGCAGGGGCCGGGGCCGGGGTTCCTCCGCACCTCCCAATCTCGCCGTCCCAGCCCCCCGATCATCCCTGCCTGGCCATCCTCCTCCCACATCCCAGGCTCCAATCCTCGGAGCCCTGGTCACCCGTCAGCCAATCCTTGTGCGGTGGGGGCGGAGGCAGAGCCGGGCTCTGGACCTGCCAGCCTCGCCATCCGGCTTGGATTGGTAGGCATGGACAGCGCCTCCGCCCCCAGACCCGCCCCGCACCTGCTCCTGCCCGTCCTCGGCTCCTTCCCTGCGCGGGGCCACCCTACCTGCGTGCGCCCTCTGGCCTGTCCAGGTCGGCCGTCCAGCCCGTCCATCCTGGCCGGAGCTGAGCCAAGCCAAGCTCCTCCGTCCCCAGGCTGGAAAGGCAGCCGGGCTAGGACAGAGCGGCCTGGGACGCGGGAAGGAGTTGATTTCGAATCCTACTGCCGACATTTGACCCTAGACCC